CTTTCACTGGCAAAGGCCAAGTGGGAAGGAAGGTCAATAAATCACCCGGATGTGAACATCGGTGGGGGCTGCTCGCCTGGAGAGACAGCATTGAGGGGTACAGGCTTTTCTTTGATGCTGGACAGTACTGGACATAGAAGATACACGCATACTTGCTGAATGAGTGAATGCTAAACAGCATTCACGGAGGGGCTCCATCTGCCAGTGGCCCGTCACCGGCAACGTCTCATTCAGTTCATTTCTCAGGGTGCACCCTGAAGGGGGTGCCCAGGCTTAACAGAGTAAGAGATGGGACAAAAAGATAAGGCTCCCTGCCGGGGCCACCCAGGCCCATGGGGACCAAGCAGCCCTCCCGTGGACAGGAGGGGTCCAAGTTTAACTTCTAACTGTACCACCTTACCCCCCAATCTCCGGAACCAACAACAACGTCCAAGAGGGTTTGTGACGACAGCCCCCTCTCAGCAGCATCCCTTCCCCTTTTTAAAAAAATTCATTTTGAGCTGGGGGTGGTGGCGCATGCCTGTCATCTTAGCACTTCGGAGGCTGAGACAGGAGGATTGCTTTGAGTTTGAGGTCAGCCTGAGCTACAAAGTGAGTTCAAGGCCAACCTGAACTGCGTAGTGAAACTCTGTCTCAAAAACAAAAAACCAAAACAAAACAAAAACATTTTGAGCTGGGCAAGGTGGCACAGGCTTATAATGCCAATTACTCAAGAGGCTGAGGCAGGAAGTGACTTAAGTGAGCTCAGTCTTGGTAACTTAGTGACTTAGTGAGACCCTGTCTCAAAATAAAGTAAATTGAAGGGGTCAGGGATGCAGCTCATTGCTTCCTGGGTTCAATCCCTCAGTTCAGGCCAAAAAAAAAAAAAAAAAAAAAAAAAATCAGTTGGTTCTACTAGAAGCCACACACTGCAAATAAATAAAGGCATTTCAGGAACAGCCTTAAAAAAGACTCTAAAGAGAAAGTTAATTAGTTCACAGTGGGCAAGGAACCGCACAGGGGATTTTCCCACACACGGAAGGCTCCTCCGGGGACAGGACGGAGGGCGGCTGCCCAGCCTGGGCGGCCTTGACTTCTCCAGGGTCGCGCCGCAGTGCGTTTCAACCCGGGCCGGAGCTCCCCATTGTATTTCCATTTTATGACATCTTTTTCTATTCCAGAGGAGAAAATCTGAATAAAAACGAGCCAGGCTTTTAGGGCTGCTTTTTATTATTAGCATTGGGTAAGAAACACCCTTCATGAGGTGGTGAGAGTCGCCTGAATCCTATTGTGGAGGAGGCCTGGGAGCTCGTAAACCCCTGAAAAGCCACCCCGGCAATTTATGATCCTCGAGGCCTCCCCTTCCTGACACGCCACTTCCAGGGAGTATCTTTACTTTTCGCTTCCTGCAATTTACGCTCCGGAGCCGCTTCGCCCCATCTGAATTAAGCCCGATTAAGGGTCAGTGCGTGATTCCCCACATCAAACTGCTGGCCTCTGAGAACCTCCGCCAGTCCCCCCCAAAGTCAGTTTTCCATGGAGTTTGGAAGAATGCCTGGCTCCTAGAAAGTGCTTGCATTTCTCTCGCTCTCTTTTGAGATAGTATCTCATTCTATAGTTCAGGCTGGCTTCAAATCCAAGGCGATCCTCCTGCCTCAGCCTCCTGAGTGCTGGGATCACAGGTGTGTGCCACTGTGCCCGGCTGTATTTCTGTCTTCATTTTCTGAATTGAACAGTGACAATGCTGAGGGGAGGTGGGGAAATAGGAATCTAAACCCAACCCACAGGAAGAATTTCTGGACAGATCGTGATCTATTTTGTTATGGGTCGGGGCCCTTCCCTAACTAGACCTCTGGTAATGCTGAGGGACACCTCCAGCTCCCTGAAAGATGTGCCAGCCATCAGTAATAAAACACAAATGCCGAGGGCCTGAGTGTCCCCAGCACTGCAGAAGCAAAAAAAGTTCAGAGTGGATTCTTTTTTTTTTTTTTT